CGTGACCTATACTTCCTAGTTCCCTCTTCACCACTTTCACCGTGGTTGTAGAGAACATAATCATGGTATGTCGGTGCAAACTGCCAGAAGCAATATCAAACTGTCACCAGATATTAAACAAGCAAATTGAATCACAAAAGAATCGTACAGAAAACTCCATGGAACTAGAATTGCATCATGATGGTTCCCCAGTAATGCATCAAGTCAGATGCATCGAATTATGATGGCAAAGTAAAACTATGAGAAGAATATTAAAAGTGAGACTGGCCTGGTGGACGGTATCATGGTAGAAGTCATTTAATTTCAAAGCATGAGCAAGACTAGCTGTCAACCCACGGGATCCACCTATGTTAGCCCCAGCATACACTTTGTATGGAAATGCATAAAAATGTCCAACAGCTGCAACAAGCATCTCAACACAAATCAAAAAATCTTGAAGTAGAGCAGCTTCATCTGCATCCTTAACGTATTCTGACTTTGCAGCAAGGAAAACTAAGACACCCTAAAATATCAGAAACACAGTTGCGTCAAACCTCTATCTGGAATACAGTATCAAATTAACAAAGAATCATTTTCAAACTCTAAATTATATCTCATAGCATAGCAGAGCAACTTTTGCATGATTGATAAGAGTTACAGTGTAATACAGCCCAAAAAAACTAATCATGGTAATATAGCTAAATGACATCTTAGCATATATAGACAAACCCACGAGTCATACTCTTCACTCCATTATTACTAGAATCAATTATGAACTGTGGTTTTTTATGAGAGATTATAATATAGTTGGTAAATGTTTTAAATAATTTGGTTTTTGAGCAAAAGACTAGAGAAGTGAAGTCTAATAGCTTACACAAAGCAACGAATAGAGTTGATAATACATGGAAAGGATAGACCATACAAAGAAAGAGGCGTGAGAAGTACCTGCCAATAAGTCAGGAATACAACAGATTTTATTATAATAAACTTTGGGACTGGGTGGAATGGTTGAAGCAGATCCTTGCATGCCACATAAAACAAAGCAAGAGCATACAGAGCCATTGTGTAGGAGAATGTATAGATGATTGTAAGGTACAAGTATGATTGGTTTGGACTGAAGTTTCCATCCTTATATTTCCCCTTTGCATAAAGTACTAGAGTAACAACAACTAAAATTGGCTTCAAAATCACAAATTGCAAACACCCTTGCTTGCATTTACGTATAAAACGCCTGCAGAAAGTTCAGGAGTGAGAGATGATCATCAACTATGATAATAATCAAGCTCTCACATTACATGTTTGAATCATACTTTTGTTTCCCTGCGATCAGAAGATTTGCACTTGCAAAAAACGTAGCAGTTTTTCAAATAACACAACTTACATAATCGCACATACAAAAGTTGGGTAATACATTAATTTCAAGGAAAATTCTAGGTATAAATTTTCAGGGAAAATAAGTATTTTCTGGCACAGAAACTTGAAATTAAAAAAATAAATAAATAAATAAAAACATATGCATCAGACTAGCAAAAACTCACCCATCAAGTGCTATTGGAGGCAAGCAACAAGTCATCAGAAACCATGATGGCTTCAGAATCCGTCCAGTTAAGCTTAGGACTACTGCTCCAGGACCACCAACCCATTCAAGACATAGAGATAGGAAATTATAAATAACCCAAGCTTCATAGCTGAAAAAGCAGCCACGAGAATGTTATTAAATGCACTGCTTCCAGTTGATAAAATAGGTCATAACCCCATTTATATTTTAAACAAGTGAAATTAACGAACTAAAGTCAGCAGAGACACTAACAAATTGTAAAAGACTGTCAAGATCACATGAATAGGGGAAAGAGAGGTGGTGCCATTCAGGATTATGACTACATATTTAAGTAAGATTTCTGCAGCAATATCCTCCTTTGCCATCTCAATCACATAACGAACAGAAAGTGAGAATAGTAATACTACTCTCAAGCTCTGTTCAGTGACTACTTGATCAGATATGTACAAAACTTAAACTAATTTTTTAAAAGGAAGATATATGAAATTGCATCCTAGGTTTGTATTGATCTCATCCAGAGAAAGATACTAAACCAGTAAGTTCCACAAGCAACTTCAAGGGGTTTCAGGACAGAATGACAATTAAAACTACTTCGGATCTGGCTATTCACCCAGGTAATATTTAAGCAGAATAATGCGTCAGCCATAATCGGATACAGGTTACCTCCCAAATTATACGAACAAAAGGAACAGAGAATTTGACATGTAAACCAAGATACGCAAACGAACATAAACATAGTAATAAAATAAAATATTAAAAATCAAGATAGAAACAACCACAACAAAAACAGAAACATAAGATAACTTACATTTCCCGGATTGAATTAAAATAGATTGAACCAACTGGTAGAACAAGCGACAAAAATGACATCAATGCATAAACCTGTTAGAAAATTAAATTTCAAAATTCAGTGGACAAAATCATACAGACATAAAACAGAAAGCAAACCAGTACGATTCCCAGAAAAATATCAACAGCACCGTGACATGAAAAATAGAGACTAAATAAAATATATACATATGATTTTAATGAACAAGGAAACAAATATACACAGCACGGGAAAGTAATTGTATCGAATGATCAGCAAAAGCATATCAGATACAGAAAGTAAACAGTTTTGGCCTACAACCAAACCAAAACCAAATAGACGAAGCAGCAACCAGTAAAGGAGCTGCAAAGATTTCCAGAACTTTTTCAATTTGAAAGAAGAAGAAAATGGAACAACCGCACAATCTCCGCTTCTCCATTGACAGAAATGATTCATTTTAACAATCTTTTATAACATGCATGCAGTCCACGCTATAACGTGCATTTAATTTCATATTTCAACTAGGTTATGTAAGCCAACCACTTAAGCTACTAAAGACGGCAAATAATACAAAAGCCTAACAACACAGATTTCAGCTGATATACCAAACAATAGTAGAAAAAAACAAAAGTGAATTTAAATCTTCTTTTTCCCAAAATAAAATGGACAAAACCTTCGTTAATCATAATTATTACAATGATAAATGCTAACATTCCAAAAGAGGCATTCATAATGAATGACTCACCGGGACCATAAAAACGATACGAACAATGAACCGCTGATAAGTAGGCTCCGTGTAATTGAGAAGATGCTTATAAATGTGAAGCAAGGACAACGCAATAGCTCCGCACGTACAAAGGAAAGCAACGATGTACAACAAAATTGGAACCATTTTGCAGCCGAATTCCGAATCTCCGTCAGCGAAAAGCGGCAAGTGGTGCCAACGGAGCCGAATTCATGACACGGAGGATGATACAGGAGCCGGCAGAAATAGGAAAGTGTAAACCCTAGGCAGAATGGGAGAAATGATTGTTGGAGCGAAAAGGAGCAGATCTGGTAAGTCGTTGGTAGAGAAGGAATGGGAAAAGGAGAGGAAGATGCAGTGAACACCAATGGCGGCTACGAAGGAATCGGAATTTGGAAGGGGAGACACAGTCCCGCTAACAGGCCAATACCTCAATTTCTTCCTTTCTTTTACTTCTAATTCTATTCCCCCAGCGCTCACATGCACAACACAACGGTTAAAAAAATATAATTTCCAAAATTTTTTATGCTTTATTTGATTCATTTTTGCTTTTCAACTTTTCTTAATTTAAAGATTTTATTACTTCATTAATTTACACACTTTTTTCTTTCCCCTATATATTCTCTCTCTGTTTGTTTATTCTTGGTTAATCGTCTTTATCTGTTTAATTTTTAATTCTTTTTGGGTAACTTTTCTTATTTAATTCCCAACTTTCAAATTATGGCATTTAAAAGAAATCAAATTTATAGGATTAGCTCTCATAAACACTATAAAAGTCAAACTAAGATAAAATTACACTCTATACTAGGAAAAAAAGTAGTTTTGCAAATGTTACAAGACTATATGTTATTATAAATTAATTTTAACTTACGAATATATGTATATTTTTGTTTTATTTTCCTTAAGTAAAAAATTAATCCAAATATGTTGTAGATTATAATAAACAATGAAGGAAATAAATAGAAATAATGTAAAATAATCTGAACATTAAATCATGATACTTAAAAGTTTGAGATTAATTAATTTCATTCTTATATTCACGTTTAATAAAGGATTTTTTTTACTTTTTAAATAAAATTTAAATGTTTTCTTAGTGTTCATGTATTTTTTATGCACCATTCTTAATTCTTGCAACCCATAACAATTTTTCAATGATCTTAAAAAAGTATTCTTCTATCATTTTTAAGCCTGAGTTCTTTAATGGTCATGTTTTTAATCTATCCACGTTGAAGCAATGATTAAAATATGTATAGATGATTTATTATAAATTTAAAACATTATTATTATTAATTTAATTACAGCACAATTTAAGTATTAACATTATATTAATATAAGATCATTTATCAATAATATATTTTAAAGTTTAACAAAAATATTTAACTAATCAAATATATCTTTTTAGAATAACGAGCTAAACAAGATATATGTTTAAACGATATTCTAAATATAATATTTATTTTAAACACTAAAAAGAAAAAACTAACATAAAAGTTGCACTAAATTATCTGCTCTAAACATCAAATGTCAAACGTTTTAAATTAGACTAATAATACTTTTGTTTGCATTGTTTTTATTTATTTATGAAAATCTTTGCTTTATTCAAATTAAAAGAACGCTAAGAAATATAAAGACATAAAAATATTTTTTTCAATGTCTTTTAGTTGATCAATATGTACAACAACACAATTTCTTACACAAGTAAAGTAGTATTTCACCTTGTATAATAGGTTACAATACTTTTATCAAAGTTATGCTCTAAAGGATATTTTTCGAAATTGTTTACAAATAGAAAATCGCACAAAGAAGAGAAGAAGAACAACACAGTCATAACTGCATATACTTATAACCAAAATATTCTTGTTATTATATTATCTAGCTTTGAAAAAAATTATTGTAACAAGTATTTTCAGTTATGGATNCAGAGCCATTGTGTAGGAGAATGTATAGATGATTGTAAGGTACAAGTATGATTGGTTTGGACTGAAGTTTCCATCCTTATATTTCCCCTTTGCATAAAGTACTAGAGTAACAACAACTAAAATTGGCTTCAAAATCACAAATTGCAAACACCCTTGCTTGCATTTACGTATAAAACGCCTGCAGAAAGTTCAGGAGTGAGAGATGATCATCAACTATGATAATAATCAAGCTCTCACATTACATGTTTGAATCATACTTTTGTTTCCCTGCGATCAGAAGATTTGCACTTGCAAAAAACGTAGCAGTTTTTCAAATAACACAACTTACATAATCGCACATACAAAAGTTGGGTAATACATTAATTTCAAGGAAAATTCTAGGTATAAATTTTCAGGGAAAATAAGTATTTTCTGGCACAGAAACTTGAAATTAAAAAAATAAATAAATAAATAAAAACATATGCATCAGACTAGCAAAAACTCACCCATCAAGTGCTATTGGAGGCAAGCAACAAGTCATCAGAAACCATGATGGCTTCAGAATCCGTCCAGTTAAGCTTAGGACTACTGCTCCAGGACCACCAACCCATTCAAGACATAGAGATAGGAAATTATAAATAACCCAAGCTTCATAGCTGAAAAAGCAGCCACGAGAATGTTATTAAATGCACTGCTTCCAGTTGATAAAATAGGTCATAACCCCATTTATATTTTAAACAAGTGAAATTAACGAACTAAAGTCAGCAGAGACACTAACAAATTGTAAAAGACTGTCAAGATCACATGAATAGGGGAAAGAGAGGTGGTGCCATTCAGGATTATGACTACATATTTAAGTAAGATTTCTGCAGCAATATCCTCCTTTGCCATCTCAATCACATAACGAACAGAAAGTGAGAATAGTAATACTACTCTCAAGCTCTGTTCAGTGACTACTTGATCAGATATGTACAAAACTTAAACTAATTTTTTAAAAGGAAGATATATGAAATTGCATCCTAGGTTTGTATTGATCTCATCCAGAGAAAGATACTAAACCAGTAAGTTCCACAAGCAACTTCAAGGGGTTTCAGGACAGAATGACAATTAAAACTACTTCGGATCTGGCTATTCACCCAGGTAATATTTAAGCAGAATAATGCGTCAGCCATAATCGGATACAGGTTACCTCCCAAGTTATACGAACAAAAGGAACAGAGAATTTGACATGTAAACCAAGATACGCAAACGAACATAAACATAGTAATAAAATAAAATATTAAAAATCAAGATAGAAACAACCACAACAAAAACAGAAACATAAGATAACTTACATTTCCCGGATTGAATTAAAATAGATTGAACCAACTGGTAGAACAAGCGACAAAAATGACATCAATGCATAAACCTGTTAGAAAATTAAATTTCAAAATTCAGTGGACAAAATCATACAGACATAAAACAGAAAGCAAACCAGTACGATTCCCAGAAAAATATCAACAGCACCGTGACATGAAAAATAGAGACTAAATAAAATATATACATATGATTTTAATGAACAAGGAAACAAATATACACAGCACGGGAAAGTAATTGTATCGAATGATCAGCAAAAGCATATCAGATACAGAAAGTAAACAGTTTTGGCCTACAACCAAACCAAAACCAAATAGACGAAGCAGCAACCAGTAAAGGAGCTGCAAAGATTTCCAGAACTTTTTCAATTTGAAAGAAGAAGAAAATGGAACAACCGCACAATCTCCGCTTCTCCATTGACAGAAATGATTCATTTTAACAATCTTTTATAACATGCATGCAGTCCACGCTATAACGTGCATTTAATTTCATATTTCAACTAGGTTATGTAAGCCAACCACTTAAGCTACTAAAGACGGCAAATAATACAAAAGCCTAACAACACAGATTTCAGCTGATATACCAAACAATAGTAGAAAAAAACAAAAGTGAATTTAAATCTTCTTTTTCCCAAAATAAAATGGACAAAACCTTCGTTAATCATAATTATTACAATGATAAATGCTAACATTCCAAAAGAGGCATTCATAATGAATGACTCACCGGGACCATAAAAACGATACGAACAATGAACCGCTGATAAGTAGGCTCCGTGTAATTGAGAAGATGCTTATAAATGTGAAGCAAGGACAACGCAATAGCTCCGCACGTACAAAGGAAAGCAACGATGTACAACAAAATTGGAACCATTTTGCAGCCGAATTCCGAATCTCCGTCAGCGAAAAGCGGCAAGTGGTGCCAACGGAGCCGAATTCATGACACGGAGGATGATACAGGAGCCGGCAGAAATAGGAAAGTGTAAACCCTAGGCAGAATGGGAGAAATGATTGTTGGAGCGAAAAGGAGCAGATCTGGTAAGTCGTTGGTAGAGAAGGAATGGGAAAAGGAGAGGAAGATGCAGTGAACACCAATGGCGGCTACGAAGGAATCGGAATTTGGAAGGGGAGACACAGTCCCGCTAACAGGCCAATACCTCAATTTCTTCCTTTCTTTTACTTCTAATTCTATTCCCCCAGCGCTCACATGCACAACACAACGGTTAAAAAAATATAATTTCCAAAATTTTTTATGCTTTATTTGATTCATTTTTGCTTTTCAACTTTTCTTAATTTAAAGATTTTATTACTTCATTAATTTACACACTTTTTTCTTTCCCCTATATATTCTCTCTCTGTTTGTTTATTCTTGGTTAATCGTCTTTATCTGTTTAATTTTTAATTCTTTTTGGGTAACTTTTCTTATTTAATTCCCAACTTTCAAATTATGGCATTTAAAAGAAATCAAATTTATAGGATTAGCTCTCATAAACACTATAAAAGTCAAACTAAGATAAAATTACACTCTATACTAGGAAAAAAAGTAGTTTTGCAAATGTTACAAGACTATATGTTATTATAAATTAATTTTAACTTACGAATATATGTATATTTTTGTTTTATTTTCCTTAAGTAAAAAATTAATCCAAATATGTTGTAGATTATAATAAACAATGAAGGAAATAAATAGAAATAATGTAAAATAATCTGAACATTAAATCATGATACTTAAAAGTTTGAGATTAATTAATTTCATTCTTATATTCACGTTTAATAAAGGATTTTTTTTACTTTTTAAATAAAATTTTAATGTTTTCTTAGTGTTCATGTATTTTTTATGCACCATTCTTAATTCTTGCAACCCATAACAATTTTTCAATGATCTTAAAAAAGTATTCTTCTATCATTTTTAAGCCTGAGTTCTTTAATGGTCATGTTTTTAATCTATCCACGTTGAAGCAATGATTAAAATATGTATAGATGATTTATTATAAATTTAAAACATTATTATTATTAATTTAATTACAGCACAATTTAAGTATTAACATTATATTAATATAAGATCATTTATCAATAATATATTTTAAAGTTTAACAAAAATATTTAACTAATCAAATATATCTTTTTAGAATAACGAGCTAAACAAGATATATGTTTAAACGATATTCTAAATATAATATTTATTTTAAACACTAAAAAGAAAAAACTAACATAAAAGTTGCACTAAATTATCTGCTCTAAACATCAAATGTCAAACGTTTTAAATTAGACTAATAATACTTTTGTTTGCATTGTTTTTATTTATTTATGAAAATCTTTGCTTTATTCAAATTAAAAGAACGCTAAGAAATATAAAGACATAAAAATATTTTTTTCAATGTCTTTTAGTTGATCAATATGTACAACAACACAATTTCTTACACAAGTAAAGTAGTATTTCACCTTGTATAATAGGTTACAATACTTTTATCAAAGTTATGCTCTAAAGGATATTTTTCGAAATTGTTTACAAATAGAAAATCGCACAAAGAAGAGAAGAAGAACAACACAGTCATAACTGCATATACTTATAACCAAAATATTCTTGTTATTATATTATCTAGCTTTGAAAAAAATTATTGTAACAAGTATAACAAGTATTTTCAGTTATGGATAATTGAAAGTGATTTAAAATATTATCTTTTTTTTTATAATTAGCTCATTGAATAATTTTAATCAATTAAACTAATATAAAACTAGCTGATTAGATGCAACTTTATTGGATAGCATAAAAATGAGTTTTTACCTATGCTATTCTTTTATTAGGTTTCTAAATACTTTTAAAAAAATCTTTGATGGTTAAACATTGTCTACATACAGTCTAACTCTCGCAAACCGAGTCTAACACTTGCGAAAAGAATTTGACACTTGGTTGAAATTCCATTTCTAAAGTTTGCATCTTATTTCATATTAATTATTTATTTTAATTTTAGTTACTTGAAAATGTATTCTAAATAACGTATAAAAATATTAATTATAGATATTTTTTTACAATGACCTAATATATCCTAAGACAAACAAACCCAGCAGCTAGTAAACATTTTTATTACGAGATGATAATAAGATAACCACTTAATCATATATGGTCATGTAGCTTTCATATAAAATCCTTTACGGGATCAATCAATAAAATTTACATTCTTTTCAAAAGTTAAAAAAAAAATGAAATCACATTGTTAATATATAATTTATGTTTATGTCAACTAAATGTATCAAAATTATGAATACTAAAAATATTAAATATTAAATGACAATTATATAAATTGTTGCATACCTTAGCGACCCGGAAAAGACCCGAGTCGAAATTCAAGTATCTGTCACTCAGTGACAGAGAGACAAACCTTAGAGAGGTTTAAAAAGCCAAACTTTCATAGGCAAAAGAACGAGTGGCCTTATCCCCTCGCCGCTCCACCTTCTCTTGGTCTTCTTTGTCTTCTTCATCTTCTTCCCGACACAAATATGGTTTCTTCTTCTACCATACCTCTCTCTTCTTCCATTTCCATATTCAAAAACCCCTCTCTCCAACTCCTCAGAAGACCAACCACCTCCGTTTCATTCAACACCCTTCCCCGTAACTCCACGCTCTCTTCCGTTACTTCGGCCATTACCACCCCCACTTCTTCCGTTCTCACCCAACAATCTTTCGAGGGTTTAACTCTG